GGGTGGGTGGGTGGATGGATGGATCAATGGATGGATTGGTGGGTAAGTGGGTGGATAGGTGGGTGGATGGATAAATGAATGAATGCAGGAATGAACGAACAAATGAATGAATAAATTTCTACTCACATACAACACCGGGCCTGATGGGACTTGAACCACCCATGAACCACCCATGAACCGGGTTCGCATTGGTGAGAGCCAAGTGCTCCCACTGCCATGCCACCCATTCTTTCCCAATTTATTTCGTTATTTGCGAATCACAAAAACATATAATAATAATCTGTTAATGACAGGCATGGGAAAAAATTGTTTTCTACTTATGGTAATGGTTAATATAATGATACCATTAAACTACAGTGTATAATGTTTTACAAATTGAAAATTACCAATCGAACAATAAAGACATATTTTAAAGCCTTATTATTATTATTTTAAACAGATAATCCTTATGATCTCACAGTGGTTTCAGATATTCCCGAGGATGCCACGTTAGCAGAAACATATTACTCACAATTTGAAGATGAGTTTGAAGCCAGCGACAGTGACACCAGCGACAATTGTGACAATGAAGAGACTTTGAAGTACACCAGTGACGATGAGGAAGATGACTTCAGTGCTCTAGTAAATCAAATGGAAAATGCTTTAGAATATAGTGCAACTGAGCTGGACTCATCATTATCAGATGAAATAGTGGGGGGACAGGCATTGTCAATGACTATGAGGGAACAGAGAATGACAAATTTGAGAAAGTATCCTTTTATTGTTACCAAAAATATGACTGTTTCTGAGAAAAACCACAAAGGGAAGATAAACACCTGTTGAGAGGGGGAAGGGAGGTGAGGGGAGCCAAGGAAGAAAGATGGTGGATGGAAAGGTGGATGGAAAGTAGATTTATGACCTCAAGGAAGGCCTAGGTCTAGGTAGGTCCAAAATGTTTCCAGACAATGCTGGCCAGCAGTTTTTAAGTATACTGTATGTTGGTATACCATTCACATGCATTTTTCAAAGTGCATTTTTTTAAATCAAATAATTTAGTACTTTTAGTATTGATTCTACATAAAGTGAGCAGTTGAATGGTAAAATATTTCTTAATTTGAGTGAACTGCTTTCTTAAAAGCAATTAATTTCTTTCATGATTTTGAAAAAATCTTTAACTTAATAATCAGAGAGTGTATCAAACTTCTTGGTGAGGACGAGTTCCAGAAAGTATACATTTTTCTAAAAGATGCAAGGTTTGGAGAAGAGTTTCAAAATGAAGAGTCCATCGTGGCTGGTCTGGGTAAAATTGTAAAGAATCCAAGAGACTGTTTCCTAGTGGATCAATTGCTATTTATGGAAAAACAAGCTGAAATTGCAGTCATGACACAACAACAAAGTTTGCACTGAGAGGAATTGAAGATGAATTATCATATCCCACCATGTGTCATTAATGTCACAAAGCAGTTGTCTCTTTTGTAGAGAAAAAGGTTGATTTGACAAGTGGTGCTGTAATAATTGAAGAGAGAAAAAAAATTCATCAGAAGAGTTTTAAACCACCTAGTTTTGTAGGCAGGAGGGAGAAAGATTTTGATGAACATAGTAAAAAGAGATTTATATGGAAGAAACATGAAAAAAAAGACAAGAAAAAATGAAAAATCATTTTCAAATATCCCAGTATAAGAGCAATGATATATTTTGGGTTGTTTCAAACCCAATGTTTTTGGCACATTCAGTGCTTGTGTGTCTCATAGTAGTGATATGGCGGGCTTTTCTAAAAGGGCCCCAATGAAAAGTTTAAGTTATTTCTATGAAGAGTGATGTGTAACGAGTGTATTTCTATGAAAAACTTTGAGATTTTCATAAATAATAGTTTGTATTAGCAACCAAATAAGACTCTATCAAGGCAGCTAACTCTACCTTAGTAGATGCTATCCCATCCTTTTATAAATACCAATCGGGCTGATCAGAATTATAGTCCATTATTATCTAGATAAAAATCATTGTCTAGCATGTTGCAGGAAATGGAAAAAAACTGTAAATAACTATTTTCAAGTCCTCAATTTATTAAAACCATAGTCAATGGTTAAGTTAATAAAATAATATAAACACAGAATTTTGAAATTCATCTCTATTTCTTTCCACTGACGAATTTGAAAAATTCAGTTATCAGCAATTTTTGATAAACACTTTTTTGGAGCTTAAGACCTATTGGCAGTCTGTTTTTCTGTCCATTCTGTAATACCTGACATGTTTCCTATAATTTCCATTTAAAAATTAGCTAGATTTCCAGAAGTGACAAAATTGAAATTTTTGCCCACCCGGGGGTCATCGAAAAATGCAATTTTGGGCCAATTTTCATAAACACTTTTTGTGAGGTAAAAACCTGAGTACCTGAGATGTTTCCAATAGAGCAGCGCACTGATTCTAAAAATAGCTTAAAGATTCGGACAAATATTGCATCCTGTTTAACTACTACGAGGATTATACGAACCAATTTTATTATTTTTACTTAAAGTTACAATAATAACCAATGTAAACTAAGATCAACTGCGATCGGCTGTGAAAATTATCTGCTGAAAGTAAACTTGTAAGTTTGTTTGTCCAAATTTCGTCTTTGTCTTTGTTTTTAAGACGTCACGGCTGCGCTGCGCTATTGATTTTAGTTAAACAAAGCCTATATTTCTAGAAGTTCCAAATTTTAAAATTTTGCCCACCTGGCAGTCATTGCTATCATTGCAGTCATCAATAAATTCAATTTTGGGCTAATTTTGGTTAAACCCTTCTTTGGAATGGGAAGATACATTGGACAGATATATGGATATAATGGCCGATGAACTTTTTGAATTTTTTAAAAATGTTGGATAATATTTTGTTGTGAAAATTATTGAAAAAGTCATAAAATACAAATTTAACTTTACATGTATCGTCATATTGATTTACCTTTTGGTGAATGTCTTAGGAGTCTGGAATATTTATGTCTTGAGAGAAAATCCTCATTCCTAAAAGTAATTTGAGGGGAAAATGTTTATACTACGAAATAATGTTTCATAATACCACAAAAGGAAACCCTTTTGATCCAATACTCCATTTTACAGTTGCGTTCGAATGACCATGAATGATAGTTGCAAGTCGAGGCTGCAGTTTCTGCGCATAGCAAAACTATACTTTTTATCATGCGCGGAAACTCCAGCCTCGGCTTGGAACAGAACTGTAAAATGGAGTATTGTCTTGTCTATGGTAGATGCTTGCCGTACTCTGATTGAGACAGAAGTTTGGACAGTAAATGGGGAATAGTCTATTGTTAATCAAATTAATTGTCACTGTGTACGACCTTTAACAATTGTAATTTGGGACTGTTTTAGGGGATGAAATAGATGCCACCTTTGAAATATGTCATGTCCCCCAAAACAGCCCTACAATGCATGAATCCAATATGTGCATAGATCCTATATGGTTATAACACTTCAGAATACTCATAATGGAACAACAATACTGGTAACAGCCACGCCTATCCAATAACCTGCAGTGATCCCAAATGGCTATGTCACCAGCACACTAGCAGTGGAACATTAAGGTGACCACACCCATCCAATATGTGCAAAGATTCTATAGAGGTTTTGCACCATCGTGCTTATGCCCATAATACAGCTTGAGCTGCCTGTGGTTAGATGACAGAACAATAAAATCCCTTTGCTCTTGGGAATGATCACAGCTATATGTTTTTAAGCTCAATATTTTTTAAATGCTCTTTTGGGGCTAAAGAACAATAATAGAAATCCAACCAAAATTGAGTGCACGCAGTTTAGAGATATAAAGACTTGTACTTTAGGAGAGGTGATATTTTGATTGACAATAGTTGACGCAACAGCAACACAAATGAAATTAAAGTTTTAAAGTAACAGCAACACAAATGAAATTAAAGTTTTTAAGCCCCTGTTGCTTTTCTGCCCTACCCTTTGCAGGGAATTCTTCCTTATGTAAAATGATTGCATTCTGCAATCTAACATGAATGGCTGCCATCGTCATGTGATGGTGCAAAACCTCTTTATGATCATACCACCAGCATTCTGATAATGGAAGAGCAATAATAACGTGGCCACGCCCATCTAACATCATTTCCATTAATTAGTTATAATATATTACATGGTCACCAATTCCAGTTTGAAGTTGTTTTTCCATCAAAGGTCTTATTTCAATTTAAACTTCTTAGAAAATTAAATGTGATCAAATAATTGTAAGCATTTATTCTTTGCATTTATCAAAAGAACAGCTGAGAAAGCAATCTTTTGTCACAGTTTGGGAAAAAAACTTAACTCATAGAAAAAGTGTTGAGTGTGTTCTGGTTGTTATTGCTGGTTTTCAATCATTCCCAAGAGAATAAAATAGCAAAAGATACGGCGGCCATGTTGGATGATAAAACAAAAGAGACTAATGACGAATCTTTTGTTAAAATCATCCAACATGGCGGCTTTAAAAACCACCAATTGTTAAAGGACAATATTAGGTTGAGTGAGCAAACAAAATGCTATACTTATTATTATAGGCTGGAGTTGTATCCATATTCATGTGTCTTCTCGTGCACGACCATTACAACAAACATTACCGTCAAACATTAGACCACAGTGGGTTTGAAGAAACCAAGAACAACTTCTCAACCTTATCTTAAAGTCTTTTGACTTAATGGTAACTAGAAGTAAATGTAAATTCAGCACTTACAGAAATATAGAAGTTCTTGATTTTACCCTAAATGACTTTTCTTTTCTTCTTCTTTTTGTTTCACAGGGTGGCGGGCGCCCTGTGGTGGAGTAGACGAGTATGGCACAGGGTTACCAAAACAGTAAAACAAACGAGGTAGGTACGAAGCAGGGTGGGGTCCTAATCCCATTTCCCAGCCCAAAATTCTACAAAATCGACTGCAAAATAGCTGCAAAATCCCAGTATTAAAAAGTCACATAAGGCTGCTTACCAAAAGACTAGCGGGAAATGGAAATAAGGGGACTGACCTATAATTTCAGCTATATGCAACTGATTTAATGACTGAGAATATTAAACTTTGCATTTCGACTCCTATTTTAAATTTTAAATTATAAATTTAATTAGAGGAGAAACTGAAACCTAGTTCCATTTTGGAGACTTTGTTATTCATTCATAATGGCTAGATCCCAGTCCCAGTTATCTCCCAGTTCATGTAATCACATTCCAGCCCCAAAATTGGCGAATCCCAGCTGCCATTCATCCCTTCAGGATGCTCTACTAAATTGCAAAGGGGGCCTGTAAATAGTGCCCCAAAAGTGTAATTTTAATTTATTAGGCAATAGTGATGATGATGATGATGATGATGATGATGATAGTAACTGCATAATAATAATAATAATAATAATGATAATAATAAACAACTTTGTTAATTACATTAATACGTTTTGATAGTTACAGTAACAAAGCATTTCGAGCCAGTTACGAGTATTTCAGTAATGAAGGTATAGCCATGCGCTCACGCCCCGGTTGTAAGTAGTGGATAGCGCTATCCGACGAATAAATCTTATCCAGTGGATTAATTTATTGGATAACAGCACTAACTTATTCATTGGATAAGGATTTATCTGTYGGATAGCGCTTATCCACTCCTTGTAGAATCTGTCCCAGGGTTAAGAGATCAAAAGCCGTTCCATTACGAACTGACAACTTTTGTTTGGATAGTACCGTATTTACTCGATAAAACGCCGCACGCTCCATTTATATGTCACCGGAAAAACTTGCCACACTAGCTTAGCGTTTCTACACGAAAATGATCGAAAGCGCAGCTATGCGATCGGAAATAACACATCATTATCGTTTGCGCATGCCAAAAACCGGGGTTCCGATGTGAATGACATTACAGCGGTTTTCGATATTCAGCGAACTTAGTAGTTGAAAATAATCAGTCAGTACCTTTTATGTTCTTGACTGACGGCAGTGAAAAGCCAATTTCACAATAAGCCGTTGGAATGTCTGAGTTTGCAGAATATAGAAAACCGCAGTAACGTTTTCAAAATTCGCATGGGTCAAATATTTCAAATGGCTCCACTGTGGAAAGCGTTTTCAAGTGTAATGTCATTTTTAATCGTCCCACCACACTAAAACTATCGAAAAAGCCCACATTTCATGAAAACGCATTTCATAAGAGATATTTGCAAACAAAGTCCAAACACTAACCCTTAGTAACTCTTTTTTACGCGACTTGAAGTTGTGAAAGGCCCACTGTTTGCACTCTTCTTCAGTCGCTTCATACAAGGCTCGTAATTTACCTATTACGCATGTTCTTATATGATTTCCGAGCCCATCCCACACGGCTTACTGCCTCATCTATCACAACTCTTAATAAGTAGCCTCTGGTGTCCTGTTGCGGTAGAAGGTGTAGCCATGTGTCATGCTTATCAAGGAAGAACATAGAACCTACTTTGGAATCATCTGTTTGTATTAATCTGTTACCACGTCTATCCAAGTGCTGTCAGATGTCGCTTTATACTCTCTTTTTTTGTATCCTAAAAGGTCTTTACTCCTAAAGGTCCAGTGATGGTAATATAGATTCTGAACAATAGGAGGCACTGGTTCACACTTTGCAAGCTTTGCAATATCTTCATTATACTCCCACTGCTTATTTCCCAAGAAATGCGCATAATGAGTTTTCATTCCTTGGGAGATTTTGTCTTGGAATTCTGTTTCCTCATCTACAAGCATCTCTTGCTTTGTTGGTAGCATTACCTTCTTGGAGAGAAATGCAACTACGAGACGAGCTTGAAGGCTGTACTGTGGGAAAAAACATACTTGAATTCCTAAACCAATGAATGACATGGAAGGATACTTGATATTAAATAAATGCTTGTAAAGATGTGTTACGCGACTATCCTCTAAAGTAATCCCACATTTATCGGTTAGGAAAGGAAAGGAAAGCTCGTAGCCAGTGCAAAAAATAATTGCATCTGCCTTTCTTGTCTGGCCATCTTGAAAAATAATCGTCCTATCAGCAAGGACTTCCTTTACATCTAGATGCTGTTCAACATTGTCTGGCAAGTTGCAAACGATTCGGTCATGATGATGGCTTAAATAAACAGCCTCTGCACTGTTCCTTAAATCAATACAAATGTCAACGCCTGAAGATTTAGCACCCAGTATTGCAACCCTCTAGTCTTTGTAGTCTTCTGGGTGACGATAATCTTGACTGTGCAGCACAAGACCAGGAAATTCATTTATTCCAGGAATTGGTGGAATTTTTGGCACTTTCCTATCAAGAAATTCAAAGGAAATTCTTTATTCATTCTGGATTCTCTTTGTGATCATGAACGTGGATTTATTATATGCATGACAGATACCGTAGTTATGTGAGATTTTGGGGCTGTTTTAGTGGACAAAACGGACAACCTTTTGGAAATGTTCACCCCAAGTGTGGGAAGCGGAATCCAAAATCGACGAAAAGATTGATTTTAGAATCCAGAATCCAACACTTAATCTGGAATCTGGAATCCAACTTCTTTGGAGTCTAAGGCATTGTGTAAGATCTGTCATTAAGTGAAGTAAAAATTAAGACCTGATTTACGCAAAGTAACTTGTTTTGGTAAGCCAAACATGCTTCTTCTGTCAAGTTCAAAGTAATGCACTTATCTTTTATTAGATTTAATTTTAGATTTAAAAAAATCTCTTACCCAATACAACAAACCACTGCATCAAAGATAGATGTGGTCTCCTTTTCGCTTCTAACATCCTTCACTGTGACTTCCCATTTTTCCTTGGTATTTTCCTGCACTTTTGGAGTGACTCTTACCACTTGAGTGTTGAATTGAATGAGGTTCCTGACTGAGAAGTGATCTGCATAGTCTTCTAGATGCCTTTGTACTTGAGCATGAGTCATGTAGGAGCTTACTTCATCAGGAAATGGAAAATCTGGAAAACCCATGACTTGCTTTGGAAGATTGGTTCTGGAATTAAATGAGAACATTAAATGTGGGTTTTCTAAGACTTCATTCACTCTCTTGAGGGTCATCAAATTGTTACATTGAGTAAAGTGAGAGGGTCTTATTCTATCCAAAATTCTGCCCGGGAGGGGGGGGGGGGGG